TATAGGGAATATCCGATTGTCTCTCGGGGGATCAGGAAGGAATTTTTTTCCCAGCAGGAGCAAATTGGAGCATGCTTTGCTGGGTTTTTTTTTCTTCGTCTTCTCTGGTTCAACTGTGGGTATAGGATTATAACTTTTTTTTTTTTTTTTATGGTTGAACTGAACTGGATGGACTTTTGTCTTTTTTTTCAGCCAGACTAACTATGTAAATCACCATCTGCAGTTTTTTTTTTTTTTACAAATGTTTATATTAGGAGATAGATAACAAGAATAGCACCACTTCATGAAGTATGGTATACAACAACAAGAAAAAGTACACAAAAGTATAAAAAAAAAAAAAAAAAAAAAAAGAAAAAAAAGAAAGTTTGAGTACATGTTTGAGGTAGGCAGTTAGATATACTGAGCATATTTTCACAACCAAAAATTCAAATATCAATAAATCTATGATAACCTTTCATTCGAACAATAAATGCAGATATGACTTCCAACCATCCCATTTTCTGTTGAATAACTGCATCTTATCTAGCAATGTATATTGAATACATTCCATGAGCAAAACCACATCATCTGTAGAATTCAACCATTATATTTACTTTATCCAAAACTAAAAAAAAAAGAAAAAGAAAAAAGGTTTTTTTTCCTTTCGATACACACTGTACAGGCCCCTCTCTGTGTCTTGGGTTATGCTGCCTCTTAGGTTTTCTTCTATTGTTTTTCAGGTCCCAGCGAGAAAAGAGTGCGCTCCTCGTCATTCAGCCTCCTGACCGCCTTCCCTCCAAATCAGCCAGGTAACCGCAGCCGTTCCACAACCTGAACCATAGAAGAGAGCCCAGAGGCAATCCAGAGACTGAATCCTATTCACCTGTCACTGCTCTCGCCACTTCTTATCATTTCACATTGCCAGTGGGGAGGACAGATGTCCCGTAATTACAGCATTCTTTCTTTCTTCATCTGCAAACAATGAAAGCAAACATTATGGTGCAGGCTGTTTAGGCTGGCTGCATGCTGATCAAAATTCCAAATTTCGTAACGTGTGTGTGGCCCATCACCCACTTGAACTGAAGTTGATCAAATGAGGGACATGAAGGAAAATTTTCTTCGATCACACAGGTTCAAGCAATCTAAAATGCATTGTGTTCACTGTGGTTTTGAAGGATCTATTTCAATAGATTTGCATTGAACAAGGCAGGGCAGCTAAACTCAGTGCAGTATGTAGCCCAAAGTGGGAGCTGGTTCTATAGGACAGAGTTTCTCAACCTTTTTTTCAGTCAAGGCACCCTCTAAAGCCAGTCCCCAGGCACCCTCTAAAATTATGGCCAGTCTCCAGGCACCCTCTAAAATTATGGCCAGTCCCCAGGCACCCTCTAAAATTATGGCCAGTCCCCAGGCACCCTGTAAAATTTTGGACAGTCCCCAGGCACCCTCTAAAATTGGCCGGTCCCCAGGCACCCTCTAAAATTTTGGCCGGTCCCCCAGGCACCCTCTAAAATTTTGGCCGGTCCCCAGGCACCCTCTAAAATTTTGGCCGGTCCCCAGGCACCCTCTAAAATTTTGGCCGGTCCCCAGGCACCCTCTAAAATTTTGGCCGGTCCCCCCAGGCACCCTCTAAAATTTTGGCCGGTCCCCAGGCACCCTCTAAAATTTTGGCCGGTCCCCAGGCACCCTCTAAAATTTTGGCCGGTCCCCAGGCACCCTCTAAAATTTTGGCCCCAGGCACCCTCTAAAATTTTGGCCCCCCCAGGCACCCTCTAAAATTTTGGCCGGTCCCCCAGGCACCCTCTAAAATTTTGGCCGGTCCCCAGGCACCCCATTCTAAAATGTAAAAACTATTCTAATAGTTTTATATAACGCAGCAACATCCACACATACAGGACTCCCAATATTAGAGGGGATTTATTCTTCCAAATCAAATACATGTTTGCACACTGGTACTGACTAGTATTCCAATGTTTCTCTCAGTTTTTCTCCATAACTCGGGTAATGTGACCCCAGCACTGACGTAGAGGGGCAGGGGAGGGTCCAGCAAGGATGCTGTGCAGGCAACTGACAACCTTCTTATCAACTGATGATGTCATTGGTTGTCAGGATGCTGGCAGCTAGAAGGTCGTAATTTTTATTTATTTATTTCAAGTACTTGTATAGCGCTGTCAATTTACGCAGCACTTTACATATATATTGTACATTCACATCAGTCCCTAACCCTCAAGGGGCGTACAATCTAATATCTCTACATTCATACATACTTTCTAGGGCCAATTTTAGACCGGATCCAATTAACCTACCAGCATTTCTATGGAGTGTGTGGGAGGAAACTGGAGTACCCGGAGGAAACCCACGTAGGCACAGGGATAACATGTAGACTCCAGGCAGGTGCTGTGGTTGGGATACGAACCAATGGCCCGAGTACGGCCAGGCAGAAGTGATGGTGCACAATGAAAACCTGTGGCTTTGTGTAACGAAGAGTAAGGCTTCTTTCACCCGCTGGCTTATATACAAGTTTTGTGCAACTTTTAGACATTTTGCCAAGGCACCCCAGAAGAAACCTCAAGGCACCCTGGTTGAGAAAGGCTGCGATAGGAGACAAAGGGGTTTCACATCTCCGTGCGTTTCATTTGCTCTGCAAAACACTGAAAAGTGCATAAAAATGCACTTGGGGTGAGCAAGCTTGAATTGTGTTGGTCAGAGGTCCTCCTTAACCCTTTCGCTGCCAGAGCCATTTGTGTTTTTTTGCACGTTTAAAAAAAATAATTTTAGGCCTGAAGATTAGTTAAAACCCTCCAACATATTATTGTTCTTATTGTTGTTGTTTGTTGTTGTTGTTATTGTTATTATTATTATTATTATTATACAGAATTTATATAGCATTTAGGAGGCAGGGGAAAGTGGTACAGGAGGAAATGGCTGTGGGGGATGGAGTGGTAGGAGGAGTGGAGGAGGTTAGTTGTTAGGTGAGGTCAGGTGTTAGGTGAGGTTGGGGTAGGCTTCCCTGAAGAGGAGGGTTTTCAGGGTGCGCCTGAAGGTGAGGAGGGTAGGTGACAGTCTGATGGATTGAGGTAGGGAGTTCCAGAGGAGGGGGGAAGTCCTAGAGAAGTCCTGCATTCGGGCGTGGGAGGAAGAGACCAGGGAGCTAGAGAGTAGGAGGTCCTGTGAGGAGCGGAGGGCACGGGTAGGGTAGTATTTGGGTATCAGGTTGGTTATGTAGTTTGGGGTGGCGTTATGCGGCCCCACGGAAAAAAGCCCAGTTCTGTGAGGCCGCATATTTGTGTGCCGTTGGCGTCAAGGCATAAAACTTTAATATATCAATACAATTTTGGTAAAGTATAAAACATACACGGTGTAAATGGATACCAAACATGTCAAGCTTTAAAACCACACGCTCTTGTGCACTGACAACGACCATTTTAAAAGCCCCTACAGGTCATTTGTTCAGAGTTCACCATAAAAAATGGCCATAGAATTAATGCCACGATATGTAACATAAGTAGCTCAATCAACTTTTTTGTGCATAGGTGCTATCAACTTTTGTTTACCTTTGTACAGTTGCAAGAAAAAGTATGTGAACCCCTTGGGATTACGTGGAGTTTTGCATGAATTGGGCATAAAATGTGCTCTGAACGTCATCTAAGTCACAACAATAGAAGAATACAGTCTGCTGAACATAATACTACACAAACATTAGATGTTGCCATGGTTTAATTGCACATAACATGTAAACATTCACAGTGCAGGGAGGAAAAAGTATGTGTGAGACCCTAGCTTAATGACTTCTCCCAGAGCTAATTGGAGCCAGGAGTGAGCCAACCTTGACTCCAATCAGTGTGATGATATTGGATGTGTTGCTGACAGCTGTCCTGCCCTTAAAAAACACACACCTGTTTTGGGTTTACTGGTTTCAAGAAGCACTGTCTGATGTGAACCATGCCTTGCAGAAAAGAGCTCTTAGGAGACCTACGATCAAGAATTGTTGACTTGCATGAAGCTGGAAAGGGTTACATAAGTATCTCCAAAAGCCCTGATGTTTATGTGTCCATGGTAAGACAGACTATCTACAAATGGAGAAAGTTTAGCACTGTTACTACTCTCCCTAGGCGTGGTTGTCCTGTAAAAATGACTGCAAGAGCACAGCGCAGAATGCTGCATGAGGTAAAGAAGAATCCCAGAGTGTCAGCTAAAGACCTACAGAAATCTCTGGCACATGCTAACATTTTTGTTGACACCTCTACAATAAGGAAAACATTAAACAAGAATGGAGTACATGGGAGGACACCACGGAGGAAGCCATTGCTGTCCAAAAAGAATATTGCATCACGTTTGAAGTTTGCAAAAGAGCACCTGGATGTTCCACAGCACTACTGGCAAAATATACTGTGGACAGATGAAACCAAGATTGAGTTGTTTGGGAAGAACACACAACACTATGTGTGGAGAAAAAAAGGCACAGCACACCAACATCAAAACCTCATCCCCACTTTAAAACATGGTGGAGGGAGCATCATGGTTTGGGGCTGCTTTGCTGCCTCAGGGCCTGGATGGATTGTTGTCATCGATGGGAAAATGAATTCCAGAGTTTATCAAGACATTTTGCAGGAAAACGTACGACCATCTGTCCGCCAACTGAAGCTCCACAGAGGATGGGTGATGCAACAGGACAATGACCCAAAGCATACAAGTAATTCAACAAAACAATGGCTGCAACAGCACAGAATACGCCTTCTGGAGTGGCCCAGTCAGAGTCCTGACCTCAACCCGATTGAAATGCTGTGGCATGACCTTGAGAGAGCGATTCACACCAGACATCCCAAGAATATTGCTACACTGTAACAGTTTTGTGAAGAGGAGTGGTCCAAAATTACTCCAGATCGTTGTGCAGGTCTGATCTGCAACTACAGGAAACGTTTGGTTGAGGTTATTGCTGCCAAAGAAGGGTCAACCAGTTATTAAGTCCAAAGGTTCACATACTTTTTCCTCCCTGCACTGTGAATGTTTACATGTTATGTGCAATTAAACCATGGCAACTTCTAATGTTTGTGTATTATTATGTTCAGCAGACTGTGTTCTTCTATTGTTGTGACTTAGATGACGTTAAGAGCACATTTTATGCCCAATTCATGCAAAACTCCACGTAATCCCAAGGGGTTCACATACTTTTTCTTGCAACTGTATGTCTGGGTGCAAAGTGGGCTCTAAACTTTTTGTTTTTTTTGTTTTGTTTGTGCTTAGATGTGTCTTACATTTTTTTTTTTTTTTACTTTTTTCACCTAACTTTGTTTTATATCACGTAGAGGCCAAAAGTCACCTGTGTGATAGCTTTTTGGCAGGACAAGACTCTTTGAGACAAGGGGGATAATAGACCACTGATGTCTCATCTGCCTTTCACTGAAGCTAAGGAAGCACAGATCGTCTTGTATTAGTTTCAGTATGACCATAGTATCCAATGAAAGTGACAGCCACATCTGGAGGTGACATAATGCATGGTGCTTCTATCTAGCAAAGATCATTGAACAGACATATTCTGGTCTCCCTCCGCTCTACAGGGGTTTTAAACTTTTCCTACTCTACCAAAATTTGACTTTACATTTGCAGTGTTTTCAGTTTTTTCTTTTATAACTCATAGAACAATTGTTATTTTTAGGATGCAAAAGTTTTGTAGTAAAAGTTTTTTCCATTAATTTTTTTTACAGCACTGAAAAATAATGTGTTCATGCCTTCCACTCTCCTGCAAGATCGAACACAGAGGAACAGTAAAGACTCGGGTAAGTGCAGGAAAGAGTTGGTGTTTTTTTTGTCTGTCCTGTTTTTGTCATAACTGCTTCTAGATATGAGGTCTCACACCATAGAAATGCAGTCTGGATGCGTTCCAGATCCGTTTCTGTATGCGAGTGTTTTTGATGCATTTTTGATGCATTCCAGTACAGTTCAGTGCAGAAAAAATGCCCCCCCTCCACCCTCTCCATCACGACCAACAACTCCACCATCAGTCCCACCCTGCAAGCCAAAGTCCTAGGTGTCACTCTAGATTCAAACCTGTCCTTCCAACCCCATGTCCAATCGCTAGCAAGCTCATGCAGGCTCCACCTCCGCAACATCTCCAAAATACGTGCGTTCCTAACCCCAGACACCACTAAACAACTCATTCACTCCCTCATTATCTCACATTTGGACTACTGCAACTCCCTCCTCACCGGCCTACCCCATCGCAGACTATCCCCGCTTCAGTCTATCCTGAACTCAGCGGCCAGACTCATCCACCTTACCAACTGCTCCTCTTCTGCCACCCCCCTCTGTCATTCCCTCCACTGGCTTCCGATTGCCCAATGCATCAAATTCAAACTGCTAATACTGACATACAAAGCCATTCATAATGCTGCCCCAAACTACCTCACCGACCTGATACCCAAATACCACCCAACCCGTAATCTTCGCTCCTCACAAGACCTCCTACTTTCTAGCTCCCTGGTCTCCACCTCCCACGCCCAACTGCAGGACTTCTCTAGGACTTCCCCCATCCTCTGGAACTCGCTAGCCCAATCCATCAGACTGTCACCTACCCTCCTCACCTTTTAGGCGCACCCCGAAAACCCATCTCTTCAGGGAAGTCTACCCCACCCTCACCTAACTGGCGATCTCCTCCACTCCTCCTACCACTCCATCCCCCACAGCCACTTCCTCCTGTACCACTATCCCCTCCCTCCTAGATTGTAAACTCCAAGGAGCAGGGCCCTCGAACCCCTCGTGTATTGTATTGTTACTGTATTGTCTCATGTACTGTCCCCCACTATAATATACAGCGCTGAGCAAACCTTTTGGCGCTATATAAACACTGTATAATAATAATAATTTTCTTTCTGGAACTGAAACACACTGGGAGTGACACACTAGTGTGAACTATGCCTGACCTGAAAACTAAAAACTGAAGAGTGCAAAAATTTTGGTGCAGCTGTGTATAGAAATCAATCGGCTTCCAGTTTTTTTTTTTTTTTATCAAAGCTTAATTGAACAAGCTGAAGTTAGAAGCTGATTGGTTACCATGCACAGCTGCATCAATTTATGCAGGCCATAGACTGGTTGAAAACTGGCCGTTTTTAAAAAAAAAAAAAAAAATCAGTCGTTCAATAGGCCGACGTTACCACCAATGGTGAAAACAAAATGGGCCTATTTTCGTCCTGTCTATGGCCAGCATTTAATTACTTCTGTCCCTTGCAAAGAGCTCCACTATTATATTTGACATTAAAAAGTATTGTGGTTGCAACAATGTAGCCATTTGTATCCATTTTGGATACAGATGTTTTTATTCAGATACAAATAGATACATTGTTGCAACCGCAATACTTTTTCATGTCAAATATAATAGCGGACTGGAATTCTTCTTTTTCTTCTTTCTTCCTCCTTCTTCCTCCTTCTTCCTCCTTCTTCCTCCTTCTTCCTCCTTCTTCCTTCTTCTTCCTCCTTCTTCTTCCTTCTTCTTCTTCTTCCTTCTCCTCCTTCTTTCTTCTTCTTCTTCCTTCTTCCTTCCTTCTTCTTCTTCCTTCCTTTCTTCTTTCCTCTTCCTTCCTCCTTCTCTTCTTCCTCCTTCTTCCTTCCTTCCTTCTTCTTCCTTCCTCCTCCTTCTTCTCCTTCCTTCTTCCTTCTTCTTCCTTCCTCCTCCTCCTCCTCCTCTTCCTTCTTCCTTCTTCCTCTTCCTTCCTCCTCCTCCTCTTCCTCCTCCTCCTCCTTCTCCTCCTTCCTCCTCCTTCCTCTCCTCTTCCTCTTCCTCCTCCTCCTCTTCCTCCTCTTCCTCCTCCTTCTTCCTCCCCCCTCTCCTCCTCCTTCTTCCTTCCTCTTCCTTCTTCCTCCCCCCTCCTTCCTCCTTCTTCTTCCTCCTCCTTCTTCTTCCTCCCCCCTCCTCCTCCTTCTCTTCCTCCTTCTTCTTCTTCCTCCCTCCTCCTTCTTCTTCCTCCTTCTTCTTCTTCCTCCTTGTCACGGCTCATGCGTAGATTTTTTTTTATCTGTAAAACGATAGGCCAATTTTTTCCCCCAACTTTACCAATAAAAAAAAAATGTGCCAAAACCCCCAAAAACGGCCGACCAATTAACCCACTAACAGTGTGAAAATCGGCCGATTCTTTTTTTTTTTTTATTTCGGCCGAAAAATTGGCCGAAATAAAAAATTTTTTCGACCCGTCTATGGCCTGCATTAGTTCTAACTCTTGCCAAACTCCCCTATAGCGTTTGACAGGCTGTAGACAGGCGTTTGGGAAGCCTTTTTAACGCTCCTCAAAGGCTCCCCAAACTCCCTATGCACAGTTTTGAGGTGTTTGATAGGCGTTTGCCAAGCATTAAAACTGCACCATAAACGCCTATAATGAAGTTAAATGGTATTAACACTCCGCAACTGCCTCGCAAACGCCTCCCAGGTGTTTGAGGCGTGGCACCACAGACTGGAATGGGAGGCTTCAACTCCTATTGACTCAACATGAGGCGTCAGTTTTGCCACGACGCTAACGCTTCAGTGTGAACAGAATTTTCTTGTGTTTGAGAAGCATTAAAAAAGCTTCCCAAAGGCCTGTCTGACGCCTGCAGACAAAGCTAGTGTGAACGTAGCCTTAGTAAATCAACCCCAGGCGTCAATCATATGATTGGGAGATGAGACAGATGACCCCCCCCCCAAAAACCACCCAACCTCAAGAGGAACATTGTTCAGACAAGTAAAAAAAAAAAGAAAAACTAGAAAAAACTGTCCAGGGCTTGTTTCCTCACCCAAAGATAACCAGCTATTTTACATTTATTTTTATTTATTAAAAATATATACACATACAGGGCTTTTTTTTTTTTTTTTTTTCCCCTAACACCAAGACTTGTGGTTGTTGCAGACATGTGTGTGACCTTGGTCCTTTCTTTTGATCTAAAAAACAAGGAGTAATTGGGCTGAACTCATAGATTTGCCATCGAGCTCAGTTTTGCTACCTAAGGGTTTGAAAACCCAATCATCACAAATGGCATTTTAAATAAGAGCACTGACTGTTATGGGGGGGGGGCCTTTATAGGAAACCAAGCGTACAATCCAAATGCACATGTTCCTGCGTTAAAAATGGCTGTGTGTATAAGTGGGTGCTGCAGAGATCTTCGGCTGGAGCCGAACAGAATCAGCAAGGAAGAATGTCACCAGCACACCGAGGATCACCAATATGGGTCCAAACGTTTTAATGAATGATCACATAGTTACAGCAAGGCAACGTTTCGGAGTCTCATGACTGATGAAGGGGTCCTGCAAGACTCCGAAACATTGCCTTGCTGTAACTATGTGATCGTTCATTAAAACTTTTGGACCCATATTGGTGATCCTCAGGATGCTGGTGACATTCTCCCTTGCTTTATAGGAAACAACCTCATCTTCTCATGTAGGCTACAAAGATTTTTGTTTTCTACTTTTACGTCTGCAAAACCATTTCACTTGATTTTAACTGAAAAATCTTATTTTGCAGAGGAAAGTTTGCTTGCTTGGACAGTTATAAAACCAGCAACATTGCAGCCTCCACAAGTAACTGTGTCTCCAGACATCGAGAGTTCGCAGACCAGGACGGAAGAGAAGGTAGCTCCTATATCTGTGCATTGTACAGTGGGTGATGGCACAATATGAAAAAAGGAAAAGTGGAAATGTTGCCTGTTAATGACCAGGAAGAGCCCAAACCTCATTCTTTTAGTGAATGTTAAAAAAAAAAAAATAAATGAAAGTATAAATTTATCCAAAACTGATACTTACATTTTTGGTGAGAACTGCAGAGTTGGACCACCAGACTGTTCCTTCTATCTTTTGGGGTCTCTAATGATGAGAACCTCCCAATCCTTTACAATTGTTAGAATTGCAAATGAAAGAAATGGAGAGTAGTGTCAGCTATTGGTAGTAATCATTTACTAAAAAATATATATGGATTTATTTTATAATTTATTTATTTTAGCATGTTACTATCAGTCTTCTTTTTGCTTTATAATTTTTATTTCCCACCTGTACCCCAACCTTGTCTCAAGCTATCACCCAAATCGTCCACTCTCCTCCTAAGACCTACTGCTGACTAGCGCCCTTGTCATTTCCTATCTTGCTTGCCGCCGGGACTTCTCCTGAGCCTCTCCCCCATCTTCTGGAACTCCCTACCCCAACTTGTTTGACTATCTCCTACTCTGTCACCTAGGCAATCCAGAAAACTCATATTTAGGGAAGCCTACTCCACCTCCACCTACAAACTGTACTTTTACGTGTTCCGTCAGCTCATCCCACAGTTATTACTTTGTGTGTGTCACTTGCCCCTCCCTTTTAGATTGTAAGCTTGAAGGATCAGGGCCTACCTAATCCTTCTGTAGTTAATTGAAATGTAACTGTACTGGCTCCTTTTTATTTTTGAAAGCATTGTGCACACTGTTGGAGCTATAATAAATGCTGAATATTAATAATTGCCTTTTTTGTCATTAGCTGACCCTAGAAGAAAAAAGCAACGCTCTAGTGAATCATGCAGGACAGCCAAAGTCTGCTCATGGATCCACCTGCATCCTGGGGATGGAAACGAGGTGAGCAGATAGAATATAAAAGCTGTTCTAGTAGCTGAGAGAGGCAAGTGTTATTGACTATCCAGTGTAACTATTGCTGTGTAAGGATCTGCTAGCAGGCGTAGTATCTGATTGATTCCTTCCATCCTGAGTGACTGTTTACAGCACATGGTCTTTGTCCAGTTCCAACCAGTGGAATCCTGAATGGTCTCCAGTATCAGGAGACACAGCTCTTCCTCTGTCAATAGAGGCTCACCTTGTGTCTGCTACCATACTGCTGTCACCATTATCTCAGTCCTGCTCCATTAGATGTCCACAATTGAGCGAGCGATCATTTATAGTCTCCAGATCCAGACAGAACATTTTTTTTTTTCTGGTGTAGTTTGTTTTTGTTCTTGGGCTGGGCCCATTTAAGCGGCTTAGGGCATTGCCACTAATATCGCCCTGCAATTAACTACAAACTGTCACTACGCAAAGGTTCTAACCTCTTCCCCACATCCTGCCGAGAGCAAATCTTTTGTCAGTTGGAAGAAAGAAGCTGAGCAAAGAACTTCCCATTGTTGGTACCATTGCTGATGTCTGGAGTCCACACGCCGGCTCAATGTCAAGCTGACTATCGGCAAGCAGATGTCACCTTTGGGTATACCCAAGGGGGAGACATCTCTTCGTTATCTAGAGAGTGCCAGGAACCGATGCTGTTTCCATGTGGCTTGTCCTGTGCACTAAAGTAGTGCAAGATTACTCCCTTCCTTCCTTGTTACCACTGAAAAGAGCGAGATACGCCAAATCTTAGGGGTTTTCTAAAAAATTAAATCCCTGTGTGCTGCAATGCACTCTTTGCTTTGTCTGGACCTGCTAATATAAGGAATATACAACAACCCCAATCAATCAGAAACTTTCCAGAATCATTTTTGGGTCAATTAAGAGGATCTGCTAGGCTAGAAATATAGACCCTGCCATTGCTGACTTTCTTTTAAAGATGTAGGCTCCAGGCCTGTCATCCCCGATCCTGGCTTTACTACCTAGTACGTCACTGACCCTGGAACAAGCATGTGTAATAGAAGTAGAGACTTGTACACTTGACTGGCTGAGTGCTTCTTCCAGGTGAGTGACTGTAAGGCCAGTTTCACAAGGGTTTTGGCTAGGATAAGAGCAGTGTGAAAAGCAAGCTTTGACAAGGCATTTTCAGAGCTTTTAGCAAGTGTTGAAGCTTTTAAAGTACCATTCAGCTCCAGTTTGTAAATGTTGGACACCGATCCTAATAGGAGTGCTGATTGTCACTTTAAGCAAGCTGCTAGCGGGCTTCAGAACGCCTTGAAACTTGTTGAAAGCCTGCTAGCAGCTTGCTTAAAGTGACCAACAGCACTCCCATCAGGATCTGTGTCCAATATGTACAGATTGCCACTTTAAACAAGCTGCTAGCAGGCTTCAGAACGTCTTGAAACTTGTTGAAAGCCTGCTAGCAGCTTGCTTAAAGTGACCATCAGCACTCCCATTAGGATCTGTGTCCAGCTTTAGCAAACTAGAGTTGAATGGTACTTTAAAAGCATAGACAAAGCTTGCTGTTCACATTGCTCTTATAGTAGCTGAAGCCTCTTGTGAATCAAGCCTTAATAGCGTATACACGATGATGACCACTCTGTAGCTTACACATTTAAAGGCTCAGTCAATCTTTTATTAAAAAAAATGTAGTAAATGCTCCCACAATTTTAAAAACTAAGGCCCTCACGGGTGTTCTGTTTTTTTTTTTTCATGAGTTCAGTCATGTTTTTTCCAAGAAAAAAACAGATCAGTTCACATCCGTTTTTGTCCGTTTACATCAGTTTTTTCGTCCGTTTACATACGATTTTCGTCCGTTTTCATCCGTTTTTTGTCCGTGTACATCAAATTTCCGTCCGTTTATCTGTTTACGTATGATTTTCATCTGTTTACATCTGTTTCCGTGCGTTTACATCTGTCTGTTTAGATACGTTTTCGTCCGTTCTGTTTTTTTTTTTAACGGAAGCAAAATAGGATTTTCTTCCGTTAAAAAAAAAACGGATGTTAACGGATGCGGACATTAATGGATGTAAACAGATGATCATCTGTTTACATTTGCTACTCTATATAAATACATGGGTGTCCGTTTTTGATCTGTAAAGGAACAGATGAAAAATGGACATACAGAATGCCAGTGTGAAAGGGGCCAAAAAGCTTCCATTTATTAACTTTTTTGCATTCAAGCTTGCAAAGGATTGCATCTGCAATCAGTGCATCGCGATTGCAATGCACAGGCACCTGCATTGTTTACCCTACAGCCCCAGGTCCATACAAAGGTACAAATGAGTTATGTTAGCGCCCTTCTGCCCGTGCGATCTGTGAGTCCCTGTGCTGCTGGCGCTGATGGGACTTGTTATCTACTCATTCACAGATCCCCGTGAATGGATGAAGGGGCTGTGTGTCCACTAAATTTAAAACAAAACCCATGTCTGCAGGGGAAGCACCTGCAATTAAGGTCAGTAGGGGGGGAATTCAGGATGTGGGGGTCAGAGAATGCAACCACGCTTTTTCATTTTGATAACTAAAACCTTTTTTTCTTGTTCCAGATCTAGAATGCAGCCTTTGGATCGGATGTCTCATAAATATACAACAGATTTTGTCTTTGGTGAGAACATGGAAAAGAGAGTCATGGTAAGTAGCTGGCAAGAGAGTCTGGGAATTGTAGTTTGTAAGTAGCTTCTTTGGAGTGCTGAGACTAGTAGTTCCACATTCTTAACAAGTGCTCAGTGACTTGTGCAGGCACTGTGGAGCAATTTATGATCCAAGTCCAGAGCAGAAGTATCAAAGTGTGCTCAGCTGCCCCTTGCCCCCCTTTCCAGCAATGACGCACCATGTATTCTTCTAATCTCAAATGTAAACACAGAACAGGAATTCTGGAAGTGGGGAGAGGGGTGAACTGAGCTGCTGAGACTTTAGTCAGTTTAGTCAGAATTTATTTAATTCAATCAGTGGGTTGAGTGAAAAAAACTGACCCGATTTCCCCATCCACAAATTGAGGTGGTTGGGGGAAACACTCAGCGCTGCAGGTTATAGACGTCACTACTGATCTGTGTATTCTGATGGCAGGGAAGTCTCCCTACTGTCCGAATACAAAGATACAATGGGGAGACCTCCCTGCCATCAGAATATACAGATCAGTACTGAGGTCTATAGCATGCAGCGCTAATCTAGCAGGTTTTTTTTTTTTGTTTGTTTTTCTTCCAACAGGGCAGCTGAACAGAAGTTGATCAGTAGATCGACTTCTGTTCAACCACATCGGCCATATATGGATCGAAAATTCGATCCATGTATGACCAACTTTAAATGACATAAGCGCTCCTGCTATGAACTTGAAGCATGAACAGTGCCTGCAGCTATATAGGTCAGTGAGAGTTTGCTAGTCTTTTGCCAAATAGTAAATAAAGCAAATGTATTATTCTACAGGATTTATTATTCTACAGGATTTATATAGCGCCAACAGATTGCTCAGCACTTTAAAAAATGAAGGGAGCCATTACAGTTACAATACAATTTGGTACAAGAGTAAACAGAGAGCCCTGCTCGTTGGAGCTTACTATCTAAGAGGAGCTTACAATCTAAATTACAAAGACTACTTGATACGCCCGTTCTTAACCTCAGAAACAACTAAGCAACTTATTCACCCCCTGGTTATCTCTCGCCTTGACTATTGTAACTCCCTCCTCATTGGCCTACCTCATCGCAGGCTATCCCCTCTTCAGTCTATCATGAATGCTGCTGCCAGACTCATCCACCTTACTAACCGGTCTGTATCCGCCATCCCTCTCTGCCAATCCCTCCACTGGCTTCCGATTGCCCAACAGATAAAATTCAAAACATTAACAATAACGTATAAAGCCATTTATAACTCTTCCCCAAATTATATCAACGATCTTGTCTCCAAATATCACCCAAACTGTCCTCTCCGCTCCTCACAAGACCTCCTACTCTCTAGCTCCCTTGTCTCCTCCTCCCATGCTTGTCTCAAGGACTTCTCTAGAGCCTCCCCCATCCTCTGGAACTCTCTACCCCAATTTATCAGACGATCGCCTACTCTGCTCACTTTCAGGCGATCTCTGAAAACCTATCTCTTCAGGGAAGCCAATCCTGCCTTCAACTAATAATGGAATCTTCTATCTACCAGTCCATCCCCCACAGTTACTACCTTTTGAACTACCAGCCCCTTCCTCTTAGATTGTAAGCTCCAAGGAGCAAAAATGATGATAATACAAGACATAAAATAATACATTCAACAATGAAAACTCTGCACCACATGCAAAAAAAGGAAATGCAGATGAATGCTATTATGACTGCTGAAGTTTTCAAAATGTGTCTAACTTCCACATTCGTGAACCCTATAAATGTGTATTTAGACCACACTGACGAAAATGTGAATCAAAATTATTAAACGCTATGCCACATGTAAAGGTGCGAAAAATAAACAACACCAGAAAACACAACTAATGTCCACTGTAACAATAAGCCATTCAAGTAATAGTTGCTTATCCCTCTGTATAAGCTTCCCCCATCCTCTGGAATTCTCTACCCCAATTTATCCGACTATCGCCTACTCTGCTCACTTTTAGGCGATCTCTGATAACCTATCTCTTCAGGGAAGCCTATCCCGCCCTCAGCTAATAATGGAATCTTCTCTTCCTACCAGTCCATCCCCCACAGTTACTACCTTTTGTACCACTAGCCCCTCCCTCCTAGATTGTAAGCTCCAAGGAACAGGCCCTCCTAACCCTCTTGTATTGAACTGTATTGTTGCTGTATTGTCTCCCGTTATATTTTAAAGCGCTGAGCAAACTGTTGGCGCTATATAAATCCTGTATAATAATACTTGAGGCTGCACCAGTTTGAAAGCCAAAAATCACAGTTGGAGAAGGTGCCCTAGAATGTAGGGAAGTGTAGGGCAGTTCTTGGTTTCTCTCTTGTTTCTCTGGCATTTAAATGCCTACAAGCCACATTTACAGTAATGGTATAAAGTGAAGCCAATGAAAGTAGAATTCTGAGCTGTTAATGGCAGCTCTACAGTCAGGCTGTATATGTCTGCGATTAGGGAAGACCAGTGATTCTCCGTTTATGTTATGGGTCCTGGATTTGGCCTAGAGTGTTAGCGATGATGTGTTCTGTCTGTAATGTGAATCCCAAGTCAAGTGACCCTGGTTGCCTGTGGGTTAGGATGACAGTATAATCCTATATGAGCTAGAGAGTGGAGACAAGCCATCTGCGGAAATAAGCTCCACAGAGCTCTTATTATGGAACTGTAGCTATTTGCAGCAGCCATTTGCGATCAAGAAACTATTCTTAATGGAAGCTGTTATTACTGTATAATTCACTACAAATGTAAATAAACGATAAGCATTTATTGTGGCACAAGCATGTTGTTATTATTATCATTATTATTATACAGGATTTATATATATTCCTAGATTGTAAGCTCCAAGGAGCAGGGCCCTCAATCCCCTCATGTTTTGCATTGTATTGGTATTGTTCTGTCACATGTGCTGTCCCCCTTTGTAATGTACAGCGCTGAGCGAACTATTGGCGCTTTATAAATACTGTATAATAATAATATAGCACCAACAGTTTGCTCAGCACTTTACAATATAAAGGAAGGCAATACAGCAACAATACAGTTCAATACAAGAGGGTTAGGAGGGCCCTGATCCTTGGAGCTTACAATCTAATGTAAAATGCTTTTTAAATATTTAAATGCAGCCGGGAGGTTATTAAAAGTATATCTGCTCTCATTTAAAAGGATTACGTGAAGCACAGTGACTATAGACAGAATGCATCAACTCCCAGCAGGCAATGCTGGTTTAGTTTAGAAAGGAGGACAGAGATGAAATCTGATTGGTTACATTGGAGCACTGCTCTGTGAACATGGAGATTATGCCTTGGATTGCCATACTAAATAGGCCTGAACATGTCTTTTTGCAACGACTGTACACTGAATTTATGAAACAGAAAAAATAAAAAATGCAAAAAAAAAAATCTACAAACCACAAACATTTATTAATAGCAGACTGTAAGATAAACTATCCATTCTATTTTCAGAGTCCCAAGAGGCCGACACCGTCTCAGACCAGAGTACCGCTGTGCAGACGGGAATCCACGTCAGCTAGATTATCAAATAACAGGAACTGGCCTTATCAGAGTGAGATTTGATTTCTGTATATATTAGTATTCTGTAATGAGCCACACTTATGGGAATGTCCAGGAATATATACAGTATATTAGGATATATCTGATGCCTAATTAAAGCCTGCCATAGATGGATCGAATCTTGCCCAGTTCAGCAAGGACCAGCCAAGATTTGATCCATCTGTGGGCCGGCTGGTTGTACTCCACTCGTGGTGGAAGGAAAGAAAATTGCATAATCTATGGGCTGCCTTAAGGTTAGCCATACATGTTTCAATTGATTTCACCATCCACGCTCAGAAGGGGGAATCTGTCAGCTATTGTATTTAGGCTCCTGCGACTGCCTGGATTCTCAAACAGTGACACCATCTAATAGCATGTGTCAGTGTCACCTTTTCTTTCCACAGAATGCTTGTCAAACTTGCATTGGAAATTATAGGGTTGATTTACTAAAGGCATATAGACTGTGCACTCTGCAAGGACAGTTTCACTCAGCAAGGGCTATTACTCCAGAGCTTCGTAAATGAGGTGATGCTTCACTATGCAGAAAAATACCCAACCACATGCCAGGCAAAATAATAATTGCTTGCCCGTGATTGGATGATGGAAGTCAGCTGAGCTCCCCCTCCTTTACTAGGCTGTGGAGCAAATGCCCTTGCAGAGTGCAACTACACTTGCAAAGTGCACAGTTTATTTTCCTTTAGTAAATCAACCCCTCTGACTTCATAATAAAGCTATTATTCAGTAGAGAAACCCTTGGCGTATACAGTAAACCTTTATTGGCGAAAAAAACTAAATCTCTGAAATTGGGTCACATGATCCTGTTGGCTTGCTTCATATTTCACACCATGTGTGCTGGTCTGTGCTAATCTGCACAGATCAACTATTGTTTTCTATCTGCCCTGTTCATACCACAACACTGCGTATGTAGGTGGGTTGGGTTGTATCCCCCCCAATCTCATGTCATCATATCACAAGGGGTTTTCATTTCACAGTTCCTTTGAAGGGGACCTGTCATGATGTCTGTTTCTTGTCACTGCTAAGGGTTACCATTTAGCATTGGAAGCTGTCCTTGTCTGCCTTTGAAAAGAATGCTTTTCACTGCTCACCAGACTTAGGACTGCCTATGGCTGTCAGGCAGTGACAGCCTTCAGCGTTGCATGTGATAGCCTTTGATATCCCTCTGAATAAAAATTGTCAATGACGGTGACTTCTGAGTCTAATTTTATTCTTCTTTTTAGAGCACAGATTGCACACGAGCCTCGTAGAGTCAGCTGCAGCATACACCTCCAGGCCAAGAATGAAATATGAACTGGACCAAGTGAAGGTTATCACTGGAGAAGAGTCCGAGCGCAATGTGCTACAGGTGGGGGAGTTTATTGCGCATGTGGCTCTGCACTCCTTTTTCTTGGTCAGGCCACTTGGCAAATGCTCAGTTTTAAACCAGTATATTCGCTTTCAGATACAAAAGTTACATGCTGTTGTGTTTGTTTTGTTTTAACCCTACTACTAATCCATGTAACCCTCAGTTACTTTTCCTGTAAACCGAACACAAACCTACCCTCCAAATCTTTTACTACCCTTCCCTTTTTCTCCAACACCAATGTTTCCTGTAATCCTAACACCTTCCCTGTAACCCACTCATTCTTTCCTGTAACCCTAAAGCTGGCCATACACTGAGCATTTTTTTGGGCAAATTCCTGATTACCCCCCTAAATTCACTTAGTGATCGCCCCCTCCTGCTCGACATCCATCAGTTGAAAAATTGAATGTGCCAGCCAAACAGCAGCTGCATCCAATCAGATTAGTAACCCTCCCTGGAATTCTAATGGTAACATGAAACACTATCCCTCTCTGTAATTTAAATCCCTAACCCTCCCTGTAATCCACATTGTTACCCAAACACTAATCCTCCTTGTAGCCCCCATTGTCACCCGGACACTAACCCTCCTTGTAACCCCCTATTGTTTGTCCGAACACTAACCCTCCCTGTAACCCCCATTGTTACCCCCATTGTTACCCGAAAACTAACCCTCCCCCCATTGTAACCCCCATTGTTACCCGAACCCCACATTGTAACCCTCCCTGTAACCCCTCCCTGTAACCCCATTGTTAACCCCCTCCTTGTAACCCACATTGTTATCTGAAACACTAACCCTCCTTGTAACCCACATTGTTACCCGAACACATACAACCCACCCCCTCCTGTAACCCACATTGTTACCCGCACACTAACCTAACCCTCCTTGTAACCCCCATTGTTACCCGAACACTAACCCTCCTTGTAACCCCCATTGTTACCCGAACACTAACCCTCCTTGTAACCCCATTGTTACCCGAACACTAATCCTCCTTGTAACCCCCATTGTTACCCGAACACTAACCCTCCTTGTAACCCCCATTGTTACCCGAACACTAACCCTCCCCCCATTGTTACCCGAACACTAACCCTCCTTGTAACCCACATTGTTACCCGAACACTAACCCTCCTTGTAACCCCCATTGTTACCCGAACACTAACCCTCCTTGTAACCCACATTGTTACCCGAACACTAACCCTCCTTGTAACCCACATTGTTACCCGAACACTAACCCTCCTTGTAACCCCATTGTTACCCGAACACTAACCCTCCTTGTAACCCCCATTGTTACCCGAACACTAACCCTCCTTGTAACCCCCATTGTTACCCAAACACTAACCCTCCCTGTAACCCCCATTGTTACCCGAACACTAACCTCCTTGTAACCCCCATTGTTACCCGAACACTAATCCTCCTTGTAATCCCATTGTTACCCGAACACTAACCCTCCTTGTAACCCCCATTGTTACCCGAACACTAACCCTCCTTGTAACCCCCATTGTTACCCGAACACTAACCCTCCTTGTAACCCCCATTGTTACCCGAACACTAACCCTCCTTGTAACCCCCATTGTTACCCTTGTAACGAACACTAACACTAACCCTCCTGTAACCCCCATTGTTACCCGAACACTAACCCTCCCTGTAACCCCCATTGTTACCCGAACACTAACCCTCCTTGTAACCCCCATTGTTACCCGAACACTAACCCTCCTTGTAACCCCCATTGTTACCCGAACACTAACCCTCCATGTAACCCACATTGTTACCCGAACACTAACCCTCCTTGTAACCCCCATTGTTACCCGAACACTAACCCTCCCTTGTAACCCCCATTGTTACCCGAACACTAACCTCCTTGTAACCCCATTGTTACCCGAACACTAACCCTCCTTGTAACCCCCATTGTTACCCGAACACTAACCCTCCCTGTAACCCCCATTGTTACCCGAACACTAATCCTCCTTGTAACCCCCATTGTTACCCGAACACTAACCCTCCTTGTAACCCCCATTGTTACCCGAACACTAACCCTCCTTGTAACCCCCATTGTTACCCGAACACTAACCCTCCTTGTAACCCCCATTGTTACCCGAACACTAACCCTCCTTGTAACCCCCATTGTTACCCCCGAACACTAACCCTCCCTGTAACCCCCATTGTTACCCGAACACTAACCCTCCCTGTAACCCCCATTGTTACCCGAACACTAACCCTCCTTGTAACCAACATTGTTACCCGAACACTAACCCTCCTTGTAACCCCCATTGTTACCCGAACACTAACCCTCCCTGTAACCCCCATTGTTACCCGAACACTAACCCTCCTTGTAACCCCCATTGTTACCCGAACACTAACCCTCCCTGTAACCCCCATTGTTACCCGAACACTAATCCTCCTTGTAACCCCCATTGTTACCTGAACACTAACCCTCCTTGTAACCCCATTGTTACCCGAACACACTAACCCTCCTTGTAACCCCATTGTTACCCGAACACTAACCCTCCTTGTAACCCCCATTGTTACCCGAACACTAACCCTCCCTGTAACCCCCATTGTTACCCGAACACTAACCCTCCCTTGTAACCCCCATTGTTACCCGAACACTAACCCTCCTTGTAACCCCCATTGTTACCCGAACACTAACCCTCCCTGTAACCCCCATTGTTACCCGAACACTAACCCTCCTTGTAACCAACATTGTTACCCGAACACTAACCTTCCTTGTAACCCCCATTGTTACCCGAACACTAACCCTCCTTGTAACCAACATTGTTACCGGAACACTAACTTTCCCTGTAACACCCATTGTTACCCGAACACTAACCCTCTTTGCAGGGGCGGACTGACCTTTTGGAAACTCGGGCACTGCCCGAAGGCCCGGGGTCAGTAGGGGACCCCATGAGATGCCTCTGGTACCTTTTTCATAGGCTTTTTTGAGTTTGGGAAAGGACACAGAGGCCCTATGATCCCCTATTGCCCAGGGGCCCCGTGTCAGTCCGCCCCTGCCTCCTTGTAACCCACATTGTTACCCGAATACTAACCCTCCTTGTAACCCCCATTGTTACCCGATGGATCAAAATTTGTCTGGTTCAGCAGGGACCACCTGAATTTTGTTTCATCCATGGCTGTTCCCACTTGACAGATGCCAGTCTGGTGATCAACTAGGATTGGATGGGGCTTTTGAAAACTTTTTCTCAATCAGCCGGTTGCAGCCAATCAGCTGCAGTGCTGATCAGTGTATTCCAAGAGAGGAGTCCCCACTGTCATAATACAGTAGCACAATGGGGAGGATTCCTCCATCTATCTTGCTTGTGTGGATGGTGGGGTCCGTTTTGTTTGTTTCCGATCAGCCCACTGGCTGATCAAAAAAAAACCTGATCCATCTATGACCACTTTTACTTCACCGTTTATTTGCATCTCTCCATTGTGCCAGAGACCAACTTGCCAATGCTGCAGTTACAGTATTTCCTGTTCTGTTTTATATTACTATTATATATATATTGGGGCAGCACAGTGGCTAAATGGTTAGTACTTCTGCCTGGCAGTACTAGGGTGGTTGTTTTGAATCCCAACCACGGCACCACCTGCCTGGAGTTTGCATGTTCTCCCTGTGCCTGTGTGGGTTTCCTCCGGGTACTCAGGTTTCCTCCTATTCACCAAAGACATGCTGGTAGGTTAATTGGCACCTGTCTAAATTGTCCCTAGTATATGTATGTATGAATATGAGTTAGGGACCTTAGATTGTACGCCCCTTGAGGGTTAGGGACTGCTGTGAATGTATGTATGTGTGTGTGTGTGTATATAGCATCATCAAAGCCTGATTGATTCATGCTTCATTCTTGTTAAGCGACTTGTTATATCTGAATGTGACTTACAATCTAAAACATCTTTGGGGTCTTCTCTAAGTTTTGTATAATGATTTGCAGTACTTTATAACTGAAGGTGGCATTTTCCTTTCCACAGATTAGCTGCAAGCTCTTTGTGTTTAACAAAGACAATCAGGTGTGGACAGAAAGAGGACGGGGTTACCTTAGGCTCAATGACACTGCTGTCAATGATAATGGACCATTCCGATCTCGCATAGGTAAGGTGATGCTTTTTGTTTTTTTTAAACTATCAATAGAAAGTGGAAGGGTGAGAACTTGTCAAAGTGTAACCTCAAAATCAGTTGCAAGGCAGCTGCAGCTAGAGAGTGTTTGTTGTATGTTGGCTGGTTCATGTGAATCGTTCTCAAATGCCATTAAAGAATATATAAACCCAACATTTCATATTCCTGATTTGTACCTGTTGTACCATGTACTTGTATGAAAAAGTATCCTAATCTCTTTGTATTGCTTCCTTTGTGTGAAATCCCTGGTGTTCTGCCAGTCCCTCTGCTTTCCTATTAAAAACAGACCTCACTAGGCAGGAGAGCACTGCGTGGTCAGTTCTTTAACTGTGCTGGAAACTCAGTGTGCTCTCCTCCAATGATCAAACTTCTACTGACATGTCAAGTGCCCCTCCCATTCCCCTGTACTGTCTTTCACTGGGAAGATCAGTGTGCTGCTGTTTCTCCTCCCTTAGCTCTTATGCAGTGTGTGTGATCACTTATTAAAAAAGATTATTATATTATTATACAGGATTTATAAAAAAAAATGGGGAAAAACATTTATAGTGTAACAAGGTGAGGGTTTACATATAATTTAAGTAGGGATATCTTCGACACGAATATCCCTAACCATATAAGAAAAAAAACATTTTTATTACAATGGGTAGGTGCTATAACCTTTTTTTCAAGATTTTTTTTTTTTTTTTTTTTCTTCTGTCTGCATTCCCATTTAGTCAATTCTGTCACCTGCTGTCTTCGTAACAATGAGGACTGGAAGTGAGGAGAAATCTCCCCAGCAATATTATTATTATTATACAGTATTTATAAAGCGCCAATAGTTCGCTCAGCACTGTACATTACAAAGGGGAACAGAACATGTGACAGAACAATACCAATACAATGCAAAACATGAGGGGATCGAGGGCCCTGCTCTTTCGAGCTTACAATCTAGGAGGGAGGGGAACAATGAGGACTGGAAGTGAGGAGAAATCTCCCCAGCAATAAAACCCTACTCCTAATTTAGGCTTGAATGTTTATTTTTGAGTGATTATTTTTTTCACCCTACTACTTCAACATTGCATACTAAATCGTATGTAACAAAGTTGTGTGAGTGTAAGAAATCTAGCAGGAAATAGTGAGTGGACCACAGTTACCAGTCAGGATATTATAAATGATTTCTTGATTTCAGCAGAGCTCCTCTAAGTGTCTGCAGAGAACATGGAGTGACAGCCCTATGATTCTGCTTCATACTATCAGTTCCTTTTTGGTTTTTACCATTCATACAGCTCAGAAAATAGGGAAAAGGTCATGGTTCTATTTAAAAACAAGCCAATGCTCAGGCGGTTCCTGCTCAAGCTGATACCATGGTCAGCAGACTTTCTCATTCTTTGGCTTACCATCCTCTCTCTCTGGTTTATCAATTGTTTGCACATTTCAGAGTTCCACTCCAGCACCTTCTAGAATGCATTCATAGGTAGAAAATGAGAACTTGCTTTAGTTGGCCAGTTAGCCTTATCAGCTGAAATGGTCACTTCTTTTACATGCATATCTTCTAAACAATGCAAGGCGTGGTGTGTAGGCAATTCCTAATCAACTGCTGCATTGACAAGTTGCCTTCTCTTGCAAAAAAAAAAGTTTTTTTTCTAGAGATACAGTACTAAATCCTATTTTTTAGCTTCCCCAACACATTGCAGAATCAAATGTTGTAAATTTCTAATTATTTACAAATCTCTTCCTTTCCTCATACTGACCATGCTGCCTCTGCTTTGTTTCAAGAGAGAGAGAATAAACAGGAGGCGCACACACCTAGTGCATTATCCAAGGTTTATTGAAAGGAGTGAAAAATAAAAACATACTCGCAGACGAAGCATGTATCTAAAAAGCATTTGCATAATGACGATGGCCACAACAAGGTGTTCCAACTGTCAGTGCGGTCAAATGTCTGACACGTTTCAGGGATGAATCCCTTTCCTCAGAGCTACTGACTAGCCTCTGATGCAGATGTGTAGTGGATGGATGCCTCAGGCATCACCAGCAAGGCTCCCATCATCCATCCACTACACATCTGCATCAGAGGCTGGTCAGTGCCTCCTCTGTGAGTATATCTAAAAAGCATTTGCATAGTGTCAATGGCCACAACGGCAAGCAAGGAGTTCCAGCTGTCAGTGAAGCGGTCAAAATGACTGACGCATTTCAGGGATGAATCCCTTTCCTCAGAGCTACTGACTAGCCTCTGATGCAGATGTGTAGTGGATGAATGATGGGAGCCTTGCTGGTGATGCCTGAGGCATCCATCCACTACACATCTGCATCAGAGGCTAGTCAGTGGCTCTGAGGAAAGGGATTCATCCCTGAAACGCGTCAGAAATTTGACTGCACTGACAGTTGGAACACCTTGCTTGCCATTGTGGCCATCGTCATTATGCAAATGCGTTTTAGATACATGCTTCGTCTGTGAGTATGTTTTTTATTTTTCACTCCTTTCAATAAACCTTGGATAATGCACTAGGTATGTGCGCTACCTGTTTTCTCTATCCAGTGGCTGATCTCCCCGTCTGAGGAGGGCTGCACCCCTGAAGCATTTCCTTTGGTTGTTGCTGTCCTGGTTCCCTTGGCTTACCTTTTGGCTGTGTATATCCTGAGGAGCTGAAGAGTACATACGATATCCGGTTCGGTTATTTTGTTTAAAAAGACCCTGTAACCAGATCAGTTATCTTAATGGAAAAAAAAAAAAATCACTTTTGTTCCTCACCTAGGCATCCAGTCACCACTGCGTACTGGGATGTCTACACCCCAGGAGGCAGTGTGCCAGAATCTGCACATGTGGGGTCTCTCAAGATCTATGGAACCTGGCAGAAGCCCACAGTGTCTGCGCATGTGCCAGATCTCATTTCAGGATGGCGGTGTGTGTGTGTTGTGTGTGGGGGTTTTTTTTTTTTTTTTTTTATTTCATACAGGTGTTAGGGATTATACATTTAATTTAGAATAGGTAGGAAGAGGTTTCCCTTTAGGAAAAATAATACTACATCTCCTAGATCCCTTTCCCTACACACAGGGGGGTTAATTTACCAAAACTGGAGAGTGCAAAATCTGGTGCAGCTGTACATGGTAGCCAACCAGCTTCTAACTTCAGCTTGTTCAATTAAGCTTTGGCAATAAAACCTGGAAGCTGATTGGTTACCATTCATGGCTGCACCAGATTTTTACTCTCCCGTTTTAGCAAAGTAACCCCAGTGTATGGACAGATACTTTATAGTCAGAGTCGCATCATTTGCTTTGCTGCAAAAGAAATCCAACTTTGGATGGGGAGTGGGACAGAGAGCATTGGGGATAACTGGAGTTTTGTAGTTCAGCAAGCAAAGCTGATAACAGATCAACAGGTATATGTAGTTGCTGCATTTTTATGGGAATGGGTGCTCAACCTGTGGCCCTCCAGCTGTTGTGGAACTACAAGTCCCATATGGCATTGCAAGGCTGATAGTTACAAGCATGTCTCCGAAAGGCAGAGGCATGATGGGACTTTTAGTTCTGCAACAGCTGGAGGGCCAGCTATATACACTTAACTTAAACGCATGATAAAATACGCATGATTGCCTGCTTATTTGCCTTTATAAAGATGTCCCCTCAAGGTGACCTCTGCCACTGGCACGGTAAGTGGGGGGGAAAACTCTTCTGCAGGAAAACAAACATGAAGGTTCTTGCCTTTTCCCATTTCATTGTGTCCCTATTGGAGGTATAGTATGTTCTCAGTGATGATCTTCACGAGGACAGATATTTAGGGAAATTCATTTTAAAGTTCAAACCAGACAGCTTCTAAAAACACTTTTGGCTGGAGTTCTACTTTAAAGTATGGGTAACATGTTCACTTTAATGTTTGGCTCCTAGGTGTCCTTTAATATGTAAATTAAAGCAGAGTCGTGCATGTTGTTTAATTTCAGTGATGCGGAATCATGGCAATCTGAAGCTGATCCTGAACAGTAAAATCTTCAGTGAGATGAAGCTGGAGAGAGCGAACAGAAAGAGTCTGCATATCACCGCCACTGATCTGACCGACGGCAGCCTCAAAATATTCCTTGTGCAAGTGAGTTAATATCCTGAAACTTTCAGCTATGAAGGCATCGGCATTTTATTGGGTAAAAACATGTGAATATACCGTCAACACATTTCGGGGTCTCCCCCTTTTTTCAGGGGATTTCGCTGCTTTTCCAGGCATATAATTGAAGGATAAGTTCACTCAGCTGCAACACTAACATGTTACATGTTACACCCTGAAGATGGGTGTAACATGTTCCAAAAGGTGAACGTATCCTTTAAAGTGTCTGCTAGGAGTTGATGTCTACATCTAGTGCAGACCATCCAATTCCAAGAGCATCCAAATCCTGGAAGACATTTCAATCATACGCCTAATAAAGTATTAAGGGACCAACCACTGTAGAGACTCTCTTAAGGGCATATGTACACGGGACGTTTGGAAAACTCTTCTGAATGATGGAAACTGCTGGAAAACGTAGGTCAAAAAAACGTCAGTTTAGCCGCGTTTGCATACCGCGTTTATGCGTATTTGTGTTTAGAAGCATATTTAAAGATAACCTCAGGAGACCTTCCCAAATGCCCAGAATGCACTGAAAAACCGTAAAGAAATTAACTATTTCAGACATTTTGAGAGGAATAGAGAGAGCAGTATGTGTGGAGATGACTGTCTTTTCTGGTTGTATTCACTATGGATCCCATCATGAGCATAATGTGTCACGTTCTACCATTTTTTCCTTCACGCGAAACCTGGAACTTGACTGCACTGGTGTTCCGGGTCCATTTGAATACATAGAAAACACTTTGCATGCATTACTGATGATGAAAAAAGGCTCTGGACATGGAACAGTTAAACGCTTCTAAGTGTGGTTAACCGTGTTTACAAGCGTTTGGTGTTTGAAAGGCCGGTAAAATCTACTTGTGAATGCAAGTTTGGTGCTTTCAAAAAAACGACTGGAAACTCAACTGACTGTAAAAAACTATGTGTACATGGACACTTAGGAAAACATTAGGGAGAGCTCAGGGGCTGCTGAAAAAAAAAACGCAGAAAATCTCCTGAACGTGAGTTTATCAGCTGCAGTATACATGAGCCCTAAAGGATAAGTTCACCTTTTAGACAAAAATAATAAATACACATTTTTTTGCAGGTAAAATATGTGCATTTATTATTTTGTCTGCAGTAGCCTGTACAGCTTTGTGCCAGCGATCAGTAGATCTCTGGTACCATGCAGGTCTCCTGCAGACCTGTCAGAATATCTGCTTGCTGTACGGGATGTATGAGCAAGAAGATACACTGATAAGAAGCTTCAATGAACTACCACAGCTTTATGGTTGAACTGGATGGACTTTTGTCTTTTTTTTCAGCCAAACTATGTAACTACTATGAACGTAGTTCATTGAAAACTACAAACCGACAGCTGCTCATGCAGGCCATAGACGGGCCGTTTATCAGCCGAATTGTCGTGGGTTTTCCAGCAGGACCGATAAAAATAAATGAGAAGATCCGCAAAAAACGGCCGACGGGCTGGCCCCACTAACAGCGTGAATATCGGTTGATTTTTCGTACAGATGAAAATTCGGCCGTTAAACGACCCATCTATGGCCTGCATAAGGCTGCCGGGACTTGCCGTTCATTCATTCATGGAAGTCAGTGAATGAATGATGCGGCCGTGTGGGCGGAGCCCCGCTCGGTCATACTGATTTCGAATCTGACAGATAGTACGGGGAGACGGGGTGTTGGGCTGCGGCTATGGGAACACAGTACATGTTCCACCCTAAAAATGGATGAACTTCTCCTTTAAAGAGTCAAGCAGCCACAGGGAACCTAACCTACATCTCTGAATCCACATACGCACATACTACAACAGTAGATTGCTGGCCCAAGGAGTATGAGATTACTCAAGAAGGAGTTTCTTCCTTATTGCAGCAAATTTGGACCATGCTTTTTAAGTAGGTTTTTTTTTGCCTTCCTTGGGATCAACTGTGGGTTTGGGGTTCTATGGATGACCTATATGGAGGCTTCTTAATACACTTTTTTTTGTATTAAAGTGGTTGTAAACCTCAAACATGAAATATGAACAAAGCATATCCCCTCTATAGTACTTGCCTGTCTTAATTAAGAGCACTGAGTGTAATTTCTGTCTGCTGCTTCATTCTTTTGTGATCAGCATGAATCACTTCTGACAAGTTTTCCTGACACCAAGAGAGAAATGGTGACAGCAGAGGGACCTCCAGCTGATTACCGGCCTCAGCTCTGTTCCCATGGGCTGTGTGGAAGGGGGGTGGGGGGAGGTTGTCCATTTGCTCCAATCAGCTCTCAGAGCTCTTCTCACTGAGCTCTGCAGAGTGTAACGTTAGCTCTCCGCCCCCTTTTTTCTGAATGCTCAAAGCTTTACAAATTTAGCACTTTGAACAAATGTAGAGAAGAGAAAGCCACAGATAAACAGGTACAACTTATGTAGGATGATTTGTGTTATCTCTGTGTATCACTGGGTATATGTAAGGGTTTACAAGCACTTTATTTGAAGTTCATGGACATGTCTTTTTTTCACCCTTAAACAATTTATTTTGAAGTTCGGGTTCTGACTTCACTCTGACTTGCTAATGTCGAGCTTTGTTCATGCCAGGCAATGTGTACTCTTAGTAGGGGGGTTAGTCATGGTAGGTCACAATTTTTTTTTTTTTTTTTTCTCGTATCTCCTGGGGACTCCTGGTAAGAGCTCTGCACAGCTTTCCCAGGTCTGTGGCCATTATCGGGGTTCCCATCTCCTGGTTGGATTTTCATCATAAAATGGAACAGGAGGAGCTGGGAGCCAATGGCTCCTTCTGCTATCAGTCTGCCCAGGGAGGAAGGAGACGGCACCGAGAAGGTTGCTCTCATGACCATTGCTGGATCGGATCGGGCTCCGGTATGAATAAAAGGGGGGGGGGGGTGTGACTGCGAGGATCCTGCAGCACAAAAGGTTTTTAAACCTTTAATGCAGGGGTCTAGTTAAAATAAAAAAAAAAAAAGTCCACAGCTACAAGAAGTGCTGCGCTTTGTGAATGGTTCCATAGTCTTCTAAGTCCTGCCATGTGTCCCAGAAGACTATGGGGGTGGGGGGAAGGTCAACTTCCGTTTCCAATCGCCTAGGTCAGGGGTAGGCAACCTGCGGCTCTCCAGCTGTTGTGGAACTACATTTCCCATGCAACAATTACAAAACTAACAGTTACAGCTATGACTTGCAGAGGCATGATGGAACTTGTAGTCCCACAACAGCTGGAGAGCTGCAGGTTGCCTACCCCTGGCCTAGGCGATCGCAGCAGAAGTGGAAGCTGGTACCTGTTAAATTCAGGTACCTCCTCCCCCCTCGCTCCCCCAAACGTGCCAATCCTTAACAGGAAGCAGGGGATGAAGCCTTAAAGCGGAACTTCCCCTTTTGGGTTGAGCTCCGCTTTAAGGCTTTAGAACCACTGTAACTCTTTCATGACCAGAGGTCATTGATGTCTTGATGCTGCTGCAAAATATAGCGGCATCAGTATGTGTTGGTCAACCTGTCAATAACTCTGTGACCAATTTTCATATTTTAATATTTTAAAAAAAAGGACATGTAAGGCATTATATTTGGAACATTTGTTTACGAAATGCTGACAAATGCACAAAAAAAAGGGTTTTTGTTAATACATTCATTAATTTTTTGATACTGTATTTACATGTGACAATTACAGTATTAAGCAGAGTCACATTTTCAACATTATGCAGCTTTCTTCTTTACGATGAAAGGTTTAAGCAGTAATCCGCAGCTCTCCTGATTACTCAACAGAAGCATGAATTTTAACATTCATTCTCAATATCATCTTCAATGTTACTTTCACTCATCCTTCACGAGATTCACTCATCTGTGTTTTTTATATTTTCTTGGACCTCTTTCTTTTCTAGGCAAGTGTGAAAGATACAGCACGCCTTCATGCTGCAATCCATCATCGGCTCATCGCAATGAGCAGCTTCCGGTCCAGGCAGGAGCAGAGCATGTCCGTCACTGAGGATGAAAACAGCTCCCATTCACAGCTTCTCAACAGCGATTCTGAGGATGAAGAGGATGACGAAATGAAACTCTGTTCTAGTAAAATGTCAGGTATGATTACCATTGGATGAGCAAAATGGATGACCTGTCACAAAACATTCTGCGTAAGATAGCCATGTTACAATCTGATTGTACCATTCTCCTTTAGATTTCCCAACAACTAGTTAACACATGGGGATAATACCTTGAATGGATTGTTTGTTCAGATAGGCCTATACATTACACATTTCTTGGTAATTCTAAAGGAGAGTTTGAGTATTTTATTTATTAAAGGTTCTTGTATAGCGCCAACAATTTACACAGTGCTTTACTTCACCGCTTTATCCCTGACCAGTCTGTTGTGTTCCTTTGCCTTCATGATGCTGTTTGTTGACTAATGTTCTCTAACAAACCTCTGAGGGCTTCACAGAATAGCTGCATTTATACTGAGATTAAATTACACACAGGTGGACTCTATTTACTAATTAGGTGACTTCTGAAGGCAATTGGTAACACTAGATTGTAGTTAGGGGTATCAGAGTAAAAGGGGCTGAATACAAATGCACGCCATACTTTTCAGATATTTATTTGTAAAAAGTTTGAAACCCATTTCTCATTTTCCTTCCACTTCACAACTCTGTGCCACTTTGTGGCAGTCTATCACATAAAATACATTTACGTTTTTGGTTGTAACATGACAGAATGTGGAATATTTCAAGGGGTATGAATACTTTTTCAAGGCACATCAGTCCCTGCCCTCGGGGAGCTTACAATCTAAGGTCTGTAACTCACATTCATACATACACATACTAGGGTCAGTTTAGAATGGAGCCAATTAACCTACCAGCATGTCTTTGGAGTGTGGGAGGGAACCTGAGTACCCGGAGGAAGCTCACACAGTCACAGAGAGAACATGCAAACTCCAGGCAGGTATTTCCGTGTTTGGAATTTGAACGGACAGCACCAGTGCCGACAAGCAGAACTGCTAGCCAGTTCGCCACTGTGGCTTAGTGGTTATCACTTGTGCCCTGCAAAACTGGTCTTTGGTTCACATCCTGGTAAGGACACATCTTCATGGACACACTGGTAGTCCTACTTGGGACTCTTGTCTAGAACTGGCCCTTGTATATTCTAGTGAGCGTGCCCAAGGTGACTGCCTCGCCTCCTTTCTGTCCCTACAACACTTTGAGTTTCCAGGGGAAGTAATGATGTAGAAATCTAAATTAACCCCTTGGCGCCGGCACCTCCTGGCCCTTTAAGGGTTTCAGAAGCTGGGAGGTGGGGTTTTAGGGTCACGTAATCGGGAATGGTCCCTATCGAAAGAGGAGATTGGGACCTTTCCGTGAATACCGGACATGTGTGCTGGGAGAGCGGGGCGTACGCTCTCAGCACATATGTTTTTCTTAATTGCACGCAAATGTACAGCCGCTCGGCGTCAAGGCTCACACCGGGAGGCTGCACATTTGCGTGCGGCCGGCGCCAAGAGGTTAACAAGATAATATGTAACATCTAGCGCCTCATTAATGAGATTCACCCCCTCACCTCTAGTTGTCCAGGTCACCATTTACACTTTGAAAGAAATCTCAAACTTTGATTGGCCTCAGAAATAATAGAGGGAAGAAAGGAATAGAGCGGAAAATCTTCCAATGGGGACACTGGTGACAGCTGCACTTTGTAGGGATTTACTTTCTGTTGTGGCTATGGGACAGGAAGCGAAGGGAAATTTCCCCAATGGTACACAGATGAAAAGAAAAACAGGCAGTGGTTATATCCTTGCTTTTGCGCTATCCAATATGAAGAGAAAAGTTTTGGCTCTGAAAAGGCAGACTCTATGGAATTGGTTTAGTAAAGGCAAATAGACTGTGCACTTTGCAAGTGTAGTCGCTCCGGTGCTTGATAGCCTCTGCTGACTTCCTTTATCCAATTTTGTGCTGGCAAAAATGCTGTTGTTTGTTTTTTTTGTTTTTTATTTTCCTTGCGTGTGATTGAGTATTCTTTGTACAGTGAAGCTTTGCCTCATTTACTAAGCTCTGGAGCAATTGCACTTGCAGTGAGAGTGAACAGTCTATTTGCCTTTAGTATGTCAACCCCATTGGATCACTAGGTCTCTTTCCTGCCATGAGTCTTTTATGTTTTCCAAAATTTAAAAAAAAAAAAAATAATAGTTTTGGCTTTGAATTACAGAGTATCAAAATGACACAATATCAAAATTAAGCCTTTCTCCCTTTGTAGATCATCTCCAGTTGATCCGCCAGCGGCCCGTCCTGTACTCCTGACAGTTGCTTTCCATCCATCTTTTCTCAGTAATGTGTCTTCGTACAAGATCATCTGCAGGAATGCCAATATCAAACTGGAATTGGAAAGTGACAGAATTCTGTGGATCAAAATCATCATCTATTAAAAAGTACTACACAGACCAGGAGTGTCAAAATAACCAACGGATAGACTTGCCCGTTTCTGCGGCATATTTGGAATCCAGTATCTACTAAAGACTTATTTGACAGTATCGTTAATTGGGACACTTTAACATATATAAATATATATATACCTCAAGAATGCTGACTGAGTGCACCTTAATATTTAGCCAAAGGATATTGAGACAAACATTCCCAGTATCAACTTCTTCTCTCCTCCCCTTGTTATTTAATATTCATTCATTTGGAGCTCCGTGATCATGCATCATACCAGCAAGTCAAAGCATGTATGTGTATGAATTTAAAAAAAAAAAAAAAAATTGTATCTTGATCTCAGTATTGTGCATCATATTGATGGCAATGATCGAGCTTACTTTGTATATGCATTGCCATATTCTTATTGTACACCATTGCAGTCTTTTACATCCTATTTGGCATGTTTTATCATTTTGTTTGGTCACGTGGTCACGGTGGCTGAGACTTTAGAGGGCTATTTTATTTTATTTTTTTCTGCTAATTTGTAAAATATATCTAATCTATTGTGTATTTAAAATTTTCATTCTATATATATATATATATATATATATATATATATATATATATAAATATATATTTATATTTTATTAAAGGTTGTTTTTATGGTAGTGTAATATATATCTACAAATTTAGAGATCTATTTAACAGGGTTTGCTTGGCACGTTTTATAAACAGTTACTCTGTTTACATGTAAATTGAATTTTGTGTTAAGTTTTTATTTCTGATGATGTGACCCGAGTTCCCTTCTTCAATCACTTGGAAGGCAGATTACTAATCCTGTATGAGCAATGAGCTGCATGGCCTGAAAGTGTATGTTTTCTATAGCAACCTGTTGTGCTACAGCTGTATTCAGTGGAAATCATAGTCACCAAAGGGCCGCTGTGCAAGAATATTCTTTGGGGCCCCCATTTAACTACTGCCCAGGTGCAACTGGTTATTCAATGTGTAAAGACAGATGAAGATTATTTTTTTGCTATCTGGAACTCTCTCTAAAATTTATAATACATGTTACAATCTGTATAATTTACTCTACCAGGTATTATATGCTTTTTAAAATATTTTACCCCAGAGGAACCTTTGAAATAATTTTCAGGTCTCAGGGAACCTCTGCTAAGATTAGTAATTGGGTGGTTAATATGAAAATGCCACTATGTTGGTGGGGAGAATGTCACCCATAATTAACCGCTTCCTGTCTGCCCTATAGCAGAAATACTGCTAAGGGCACCAGGGGTGTGCAAAATCACATATATACTACCATAGATGATTTTGCAGTTTCGGTTAGCGCGTCCTACCTGCGCCACCATTCGCTGCCTTGGCTGTCAATCACCGGGTCCCAGCCGGTGGTTGCTCGCCGACACCCAGTAATTGCTGAGTTTTACTGACGGGGGAGAGAACTGTATGTAAACAATACAGTTCTCTCCCCTGTCAGCTCCTGCACGCTGTTTTGCATGGCTCTGCAAAGCACTCACACAGCACACAGTGAAACCGCACACAGTTAACCCTTTGATCACCCCACATATTAACCCCTTCCTGCCCAGTGTCAGTACGGTGTCGGTGCTTTTTATTAGCACTGATCGCTGTATTGGTGTCACTGGGGATGTCAGTGACACCAAGTAATTTCCCCCCAGTGTCAAAATGCCCAGCGCAGTCCCACTATAAGTCGCTGATCGCCGCCATTACTAGTAAATAAATAAGTACAAATCCCATTATCTATGCCGCCATTTTATAAATCTTATAACTTTCACGTAAACCAATTAATTTACACGTTTTGGGATTTTTTTTTTTTTTTTTTTTTTTAGCAAAGACATGTCGCAGAATACATTTTGACCTAAATATATGACAAAATTTGATTTTTTTTTTTTTTTTTTTTTTTTTTTTTTTTTTTTTTTTACTGGACATGTTTAATAGCAAAAAGTCAAAAATATAAATTTTCCCTTAAAATTGTCAGTCTTTTTTTGTTTATAGCACAAAAAAATGTAAAATGCACAGGCAATCAAATACCACCGAAATAATGCTCCATTTGTAGGGAAAAAAAGGACATAAATTTAATTTGGGTGCAGTATTGCATAACCGCACAATTGTCAGTTAAAGTAACGCAGTACCGTAACGCAAAAAATGGCCTGGTCAGGAAGGGGGGTAAATCCTCTGGAGGACAAGTGGTTAGTAGATTATACAATTTTTTTTTTTCGACTATGGAACCTTCCCTGCCGGCCAAACACAAGGATCACTGCTGGCAGCTATAGCTGCTGACGGTGATCGCATAAAAAAAATCCAACAGGCTGGTTGAACTGAAGTCCACTTCAGTACAACCAGCTTGTCCATAGATGGATTGAATCTCAGTCATTCCCTGCTGAACCAGCTGAGATTCGATCCATCTATGACCCTCTTTATAGTGGTGTTTGAAATGCCACCCTTACCTTCAGTTAAATTAGTGCCATGCTACTTTGCCAAGTGACAATGTACCTGGAACTATGAAGGTACCAGAAGATGGGAGGTCAATTAGCCACAGCTCAAGGAACCTCTAGCAACTATTGATGGAAGCCATATGGTTCCACAGAACCCTGGTTGAGAATGACTAATGTGCTATGTAGTTAAAGAGCCTGCCAGATTGGAAACAGATTGATTGCATAGTTTGAGGAGGTCCTCATTACAAAGTTTTGGTAAACCAAAAGATAATTGTGTGAAGATAGTATGGTCAGATGGTGATGTGAATGTGAAGCTTAATATGCAACTATATGGCTTAAGGTAAAAAACCATCTAGATCCCAACACTTGCCTGGCACACCTATAGTATATAGGGCCCCCTAACTGGCCCCTTGGGCATCTGCACAGTCTGCACAATTGGCTGATGTCACACTGACAATTCTTATGGTGGCGACATCTCCCAGGTGCAGCAACTACGTATTTAAATGAGTGTTGCTTTTTTGCTGGCCTGGAATGCTGCAAAACCTCACTTGGTAGCAATGATGGAGCTCCATCTTACTGGTCTGACCAAGAAGGGAGTGATGCCATAGAAGAAGGTCCATTGGCTGTATTTGCCTCATGTTTAGAGCACAGTGACCCTGTCCAGAAAGTGCTTCTTTGCCTCTTTATAACCAATATCAAGCACATCATAGGTCAGCTTGGGTCTTAGAATGAGTTTAGAAGAGCAGCAAAGTGGTTTAGTGGTTAGCCTTGCAGCATGGGGGTCCTTGACCAGGACACTACCTGCAAGGAGTTTGCATGCTCTTCATGCGCTTATGTGGGTGTCCTTCAGGTACTCTGGTCTCTTCTCCTACTCCAAAAGCATTCTGGTAGGTTATTTGGCCCAAGTATGATATTCTAATGAGTGCGCCCAAGATGGCTGCTTCACCATCTGCCCAAACAGCAGATAAAAGCAGGCTTTGAGTCCTTGGGGACTCGTAGCACTTTAAGGGCATTTGACTTTTTTTTTTTTTTTTTCTGTGTCCATACACAAATAGGCATTTACAGGTGTTTAGAGGCAGGAAAAAACCCCAGGGGCAGCACGTTCAAGAGGAACATTTTGCAGCAAAAAAAAAGCCTGACGCGCCTAAACGTGTCGAAATGCGCTTAAGCATAGCAACGTTTAGCACTTGAGCATTCGCTCATTTCAAAGGGCAAAATAAATGAATTTTCTTGCCAATGAAATGAGTGAACAGCAAAGCGCTTGATACAGCTTTAGGTGCTTTTTTAACGCTGCTTTCTTCTGTCAGGAGAAAGGTTTTTAGAAGGATTGCAGCATGTGTAAGACCTAAAAGAAATGTAAAAATAATACAGGTGTACCTTGGTTAACGCAATGAAAATCCATTGAAAATAATGCCTCGGTTTAATTGGTTTTCAATGCATTTATGAATTAATTTTTAATCATGTCCCTGTACAGTATTTATGCCTTTAAAGTGCACTTTATAAAGAATTTTGAACAGATAAAATACTTTTTTTGACTTTTTTCTCACCTCAGGAACGGATTAATTGGTTTTCAATGCATTCCTATTGGGAAACCGCGTTTTGGTTTATGAATTTTTCACAATACGAAAGGTCCCGCAGAACGCATTAAATTCGTAATATGCATACCTGGAATTCAGCTTTAAAGTTGATGTAAACCTCAGACATGAAATATAAACAAAGCATATTCCTCTATAGTTTTTTTTTTTTTTTTCTTCAGTCCAGAGCACAGTGTCATTTCTGTCTCCTGCCTCTTTCCTCTGCTATCCCCATCAGTCACTTCTGACAAGTTTTCTTGACACCAAAAGAAAAATGGTGACGGGAGGGCACAGACTGTGATTGACAGCTTCAGCTCTGTTCCTGTGTGGAGAGGGCTGTGTACCTTCCCCTCCCAATCAGCTCTCAGAGCTCACCTCGCTGAATAACTTTAGCACCCCACCCCCTGCTTTTCAGAGGTGAGACATCCTGTGTAAATTCTGTACTTTGAGCGAATGTAGATAAAAGATGGCTATAGATCAAGGGGTCTCCAAACTTTACAAAGGGCCAGTTTATTGTCCTTCAGACTTTAAGAGGGCCGGACTATAGCCAGTGGGAGAAGAAAATGTCCCAGCATAAGCTGGAGTAAGCTATGCCCCATCATTGGTATCAATGGGAGGAATAGTGCTCTATTATTGGTGTCAGTGGGAGGAATAGTGTCCCATCATTGGTGTCAATGGAAGAAACCATGTCCCGATATTGGTATCAATGGGAGGAATGGTTCCCATCTTTGGTGTCAATCAGAGGGATAGTGCCCCATCATTGGTATCAATGGGAGGAATAGTGCCCCTTTATTGGTGTCAGTGGGAGGAATGGTGCTCTGTGATTGGTGTCAGTGGGAGGAATAGT